GGATGTAATATAAGCACTTAAATATTGAGACTAATTGTGCTGTATTTTCACGTTCCTTTAGATATTACCAAGTATCACTTTTCACTTAATAACAGTAAATAGGCTGTATTAGGCAAATTTAACCCTTTAGCTCCCATGAGTGACCAAGACAGAATTTCTCCTTGAAATATCAATACAGTATCAAGCAGACAAGTGAGGAGAATAAAGCAGAAAACTCAACTAGGGGACTACAAGTTGATTTAATACCAAATTCTCCGAACTGACATCATGAGTATTTAATGACAAACAGTAGGAGGAATTACTAATGAGATCTTGGGAGTGAAAGGGTTAAATGCAAAGAATACTGCAAGAAAAAGGTGACAGTTTATCTCATTTAGTGAATATTTACTATCGTGTAGCACGAAAATGTCGTGGGAGTTTATTTTGCAGAATGACTATTTTTTTTTAATTGGAATTTCAAGGAGGATCCAGTTTGAGCAGTTCTTAGTTAACAAAGGTAACATCAATAAAGAAAGAAAAGTGATAACGGTATTTGAAATTTCTAGTTTGTCAAGTTATGCAAAGTGGAGCTATACAAGATATGATTTATAGATGGATATTTTGTGCGATATCCCACTCCCCCTCCCTCTTTACAAAAATCCTCCGACCTTCCCCCCTCCACTCCTACGCGAAGGCGATAAATAGTGACTTACCCCTGAATTCAATTGAGCCAGTCTGTTCTTTGGGCCAAAGTGAGCAAGGCTTGCAAACAATTTTGAAGAATTTCACCGCTTGTTTCTTTAATCACATTTGTTAGTTTTGTGTCAATGACAACGTCAATAATAGTTGCATCGTAGTTCAGCCAATTATAGTTTCCTCCACTTTGTAGGCACAGAATGGCTCACTAAGAGGCCAACTGATGTAATAACCGGGTCTCACCCCATTGAAGAACCTTTTTCTTTCTCTGTTAGCCGTAATTTACAATGCTTCGAGCTTACCCTTAGATATAGATGCTTGTTTCTAAAAAATTATTCTTAAAGTCTCTGCATAAACGAAACTTAACCATAAAATAATAGTACTCATTAATACCTGCAGGACACTCGACACAGCCTGTTTCACTGGTATAGTTACCAACGGAACAGAGACTGCAATCAGCGCAACTGGAGTCTCTGTGCGGAAAAGTAGGTACATGGTGTGAGTCACAATCACGGCATTCAAAGCCTGAGCGTTTCCAGCCAGCTCGGAAGGAGCTTTGTTCTCCAGATAAAGTAACATGCAGCGAAGTCGAAGGAGCACATTCTCTGAAGGTTAGAAAATTACAACATATCAAAGGCTCGGTGATACAAAATAGTATGGCTTGCCTATTTTGTACCAAGGGGGAAACTGAGGCAAAAATTAATTAAGGAAACGGGGAAAAACGACAATATTGGGAGATGAACGAGCTCGAAAAGTATGATAGATAACCAACTCAGAGTATTTTCGAACTGGTTCCAAATATCTTACAT